TCTGTACTGAGTGCTTCCCATTCATTGAGTGCTGAGGCTGCAGAAAAAGAAATTGAGGATTTGGTGTCCTTAATTTCTTTTTCTATTTCAAAAGGGAAATGTCAGGGGTCTGTTTAGACCCCAGAGATTTCACCGTAGCCCCCCCAACAGTAAAAAAATAAATACAAAATTAATAAAGAAATACATTTAAAAAAAAATTAAAATAAAAAAAAGTAAAACAAAATAAAATGATTTTAAAAAAAATGTGTAAAAAAAAAAAAAAGGAGTATATATACACTTTGTATGATTGTGCCTATGCACCAGACTGAACTCAAGCAAAAGCCTGTAAATATATAATACATGCCGGTAGGTCAATTGAGTCCTGCCTAAATTGATGTGTGTTATGGACCTTAGGACTGCAAACTTCTTGAGGGAAGGGACTGATGTGAATGTACAGTATGTAGAGAGCGGAGTTATCATATTTGCAACTCAGACATGCTTTGGCCTCTCAATTTGGAAGTGCCTCTCCACATTTCCACCCAACACCGGTCCTAGACACTCTTGTGACCTCCTGTAATACTAAAGGTATTATCTCTTATCTATATACTTGTTTATTAACCTACTTGGCCTTGCAATCCCCTTTGAGTTTTAGGAGTAAGTGGGAGAATGACGTAGGCCCTATTACAGACGATGACTGGAAGGGTGCTGTGAGTGCAGTTCTCTCAGTGTCCTTATCCACTTCTCATAGACTTACTCAATTCTCTATTTTGCACAGAACCTATCGTACCCCTGAGTTCCTGTTCAGAATAGGTCTCAGGAATGATCCTTCCTGTCAAAATGTGGCTTTCGCCGAGGATCCTTGATACACCTACTGTGGAGGTGTCCCAAACTGGTTCGCTACTTACGGTTATTCATTCTGTTTTTGGCATGTTGTTGGATAACAGACCCAGAGTATGCATACTTGCAATCTTTGATAATCCCTTGATAGTATCGTACACCAAATTGGCTATACATTAGGGCCATGATTACCGCTAGACTTCTAGTGGCAAGGAAATGGGTGGCTGCCTCCCCTCCCTCTATATCTGAATGTATCTCTGAGTTAGACCAGATTGTAATGTTTGAACGCATTACATTACTCATCAATATAGAGGGATTGGAAGCGAGACATTCTCTTTACTTTGGTCCAGATGGCTACAATAACGTACACACTAAAAGGTATTCTTGACTTTATACATATTATCAACATTTAGACATATCAGTGACGTATATGGGAGCTTAAGATGTAATCTGTTTATTCTAGTTCCAAGTCTTTTACAAGTGTTTTACAAGTGTGATGTAAATGCTAATATGTGCTTAGGTGATTGGATTTTAACGATTTAGCTGCCTGATAATGTTTTATTGATCTGTGCATATGATGGATGTTTTCTTTCTTTTTCTTGTTTTGTTTGTTGTTATATATTATTTTTTTTATGATTGTTAAAAAGGAAAAGACTTAAGAAAAATTATCTGATAACAAAAAAGGAGCTGAGTTAACTGCTAGTGCTATATTCATACCTATAATAACAATTAGAGGTGCATCGAAATGAAAATTTCAAAACCGAAACGAAACCGAAATAAAAAAAGGTCAGGCCGAAACCGAAAATTGTTTTTATTTTAACTTTTTCAAATTTTTTTCATATTGTATTTGTATTTATTTTTTTTAGAAATTTAATTTTTTAATTTTTTATAATTTTTTTACTAGATATTTTTATTTTTTACTTTACTTTGACGGGCTTCGGGGAACCCTGATATTTCAATTTTAAAATAGAAAAAGAGATTTGAGGGCACAGAGTCCCTGTTATAAATGAACAGGAATCCTCTATACTGAGTGTTCTTGTCCATTCATAACATGAGAACAGAGTATGTTTCCTGTAACCACAATCATGAATGAACAGGAGTTGATGTAGATCACTTCCCATTCATTCATAATTGAGGATATACTAACCATACTATTTCCTCAATTATGTACAAACACTCAGCGATAACTGATCGCTGAGTGTTTGTACCGTTCTCCATCCTGACAGCGGTCACAGGAGGCTGAGCGAGCGGTGCAGTAGGAGAGCTCGGCCTCCTGTGTCTCCGCCCACACTGCTCTCCTCTGATCTGTCACAGGAGGCTGAGCGTTGCGGGGAGGAGAGACGTCGGCTGCTCACAGCGCTCTCCTCCTGCAGCGCTCGGCTGCCTGTGACAGTTTCTCTCTTCGCCGCTGGGACACGTAGCAGCGCCCAGTGGGGAGGAGAGAAAGAATGGATGCACCGCTGTATCGGTCAGAAAATGGCACTTTCGGCATTATGACAAAAGTGCCATTTTCGGACGATATATCGGTGCGTCCCTAATAATAATACAGCTCATCAACCAATTTCCCAAGAAGGGTCGATGGTATCTGCTCTGATATGTGATCTCATAAACATACCAATTGTCAGCCAGATACTATGAGTTTCATGCAGTTCCGACAGGAACATTGCATGCCATGCAAACAAAATAGTGGTATACAAAAGCAAGCGTTTCATATCTCTGATTCCAAAAGTAAGAAGCACATATTCAAAATGAGTTTCAGAAAGCAGTAAAATCAATCAGTAAAACAATGCTATTAGAGAACACTGCAAAAGTGCAGTTAGGAGGGAGATTGTAGACCCTAAATGAATTACATTTTCTTTGCTAAAGCACTTTGGGGGGGGGATGTATCAAAACTGGAGCAGAGAGAATCTAGAGCAGTTGCCCATGGTAACCTATCAGCATCTCTCTTCAGTTTGCTCAGGTAAGATTTGAAAATTAGACAGAGAAGCTGATTGGCTGCAGTGCAAATCTGCTCCAGACAAATCCCCCCCTGTGTATCATCAACAATTGTTTTCTGTGCTCCAACAATGACTGCATGACATGGCTCAGGGAGAGTGTGTGTTGAAATATCAGAAGCCTATGTGACAACTCAGGAGCACAATTGGGAGACAAGAACACTTACCCTTTAATAGAAGTGTCTGAACAACGTCCCTTAATCTCAGAATATACTCTTTAATACATTCAAATTCCCCTTGTAGTGGGGCTACCCTGTACAATGCAAGGGTTAACTTATTTTTTTTTTTTTTTTGTCTAGGGGCATTTTTTTCAACCAGATTTTCTTACCTGTTCCCCTCTCCCCCGGTGGTCCGCGCTCATCTTTCTCCCCTCTGCTCTGCCTGGGGACTGTCCCTTAGCGTACCCAAGGCTAATG